GTTATAAGACAGCTCACACAAATCTTAATTTTTTTTGAGCTGGCAGAGAATCTCTCTCTCTCTCTCTCTCTTTCTCTCTCTCTCTCTCTCTCTCTCTCTCTCTCTCTCTCTCTGTGTGTGTGTGGTTTCAGGAATCAGAAAGCAATGAACTTAGAAGTAAAACGTGAACCTATACTGACATCCTAATCAATTCTCAAGATGATTCTTCTATTGATGCATTTCTTTGGCTGATGAGTTACAGAACAAGTAGTCAGCTGACTGGGAAGAGGAGATAGGGCTAGTGATTCTAGGTGCTGTCTCAGTCACAAGTACATTTATTTAGTGTGTGTGTGTGAGTGTGTGCATGTGTTTATGTACATGTGTGTGCAATGGAAATTGAACCTAGAGCCTCATACATGCTGGCAAGAATTCTGCCACTGAACTATTCCTAGTCTCTGAACTTTCAATGGAGAAAATACAAAAAAAAATACAGTGTCTATTAATTTACTTAACATTCTCAAAAGAGAACAAATGAGGTTGTTATAAAACAGTGGCTACTATAATTGCTCTGGAACACACAAGTGAATAAAGTTGAGGCACAGATATAAAGATTAGCTTGTTCTTGATCACTGGGTAAGCCAGAACCCTATTTCTGGTTCTCTGTTTACAGTGCTTTCTGCTAACCCAGTCTTCCCCAGGTTCTTCTGACCACCCTCCAACTTAGTGTGCCAGAATATGTATAGGTTAAACCTGGAAATGTATATTTTTACGAAGCTTCTCAGGTGATTTTTTTTTGAGACAGGGTTTTACTTGGTAGCTCAGGTTGGCCTGGAACTAACTATATAGCCCAGGATGCCCTTAAATTCACAGCAATAGTCTTAGTTCAATAGTTCTTCTGTCTTAGCCTCCCAAAGGCTTAAATTACAGGGATAAGCTGATATGATTATCCTTAGGTGATTTTAATGTACTGTCTGACTGCCTTACACTACAAGAAGAACAAAGTAGGCTGGTGTAAGGAAGTAATTGTATATTATCATCATAGTTGCCACATTAACTCAAAATCTGTCACACTTGGCAAGGGTGTGCCTATCTCTATACCTAGAAAACTAAGCTTCTGAAAGCTAATATATGCCAAGGACAGGATGTATCTTTACCATCAGGAAGAATGATTTCCTGGAAGGTTGGGGCCTTTTGCTTCCTATTGTTTTGCTCTGGGTTTGGGTTGAGAGCCACTGACCCAGAACTTTTCTGGAATCAAGTCTCAGGTATGACAGAGTAGAGATGCTGCTCTTGTCTGGTGACACTATCAGAGCATCTCAGAACAGTGAGGGGAAGAGAATATTTTCTAAGCTGCTTGGGGCTTCTTCCGAAGGAATTAACAGGAAGGGCTGTAAAACACATGGTCATCCTGACTTTCTGTCTGGAGACTATAGTAAAAAAGCCCACATGAAAGAAAAGGGAAAGCAAAGTTTAGTTACTAGAAGCCAGGGATGGTTGTTCTCAGACAGTGCTTAAACAGCCTCTCATATTTTACGGATAGCTGACCATATGGGCACTTAATTTTCTCAAATTTAGAAAACACTGATCATGTCAAACAGTTATTTACATATTATAAATAAGAGTATATTTTCCTGCATGTATGCATACCACATGTGTGCCTGGTGCTTGAAGAGATCAGAAGAGGGCATCAGATTCCAAATAGCTGGAGTTACAGAAGACTGTGAACTAGCAACCAAATCTGGATCCTCTGTGAGCTGCAAATACTCTTAACCCTGAGCCATCTCTCCAGTCCCCCTTTATCTTTTGCAAAGAACACGTTTATAAATTGAAATAGATCTATGAAGTCTGATCAAGATGACAAGAACCTAAATAAGAGCACAGTCTGGAAGAACCAGTGTTGGGGCTGAGAAAGAGACTCTTAGGGAGACTGGAGAAACTTTAAAATGATGAAGTGCTCCTGGCCTAGGGATAGTCACTTCTTACTATTCACATTTCCAGATGAAAGAATGGGAACCAGTAGATAGAAGTCACAAGGAAGAAAAAGTGTTCTTAGAAACTTCTCAAAGAAAATGATCCAAACAGGGGCAGTCAGAATTGGAATGGACTGCCTGTGTGTAGCAATGGAACACTTTGGAAGGTTTGTTTTTACTACTGCTTTATGAGTGTGTGTTTATGCCACTTGTGCACAGGTGCCCTTCGAGGCCAGGAAAGGGCGCTGGATGTTCAGAACTGGAGTTACTGATGTGCTGTGGAACAATGGTCTTTTATCCTATCACTTGTATTTTAAATAAACTCTGACTGGCCAGTAGCCAGGCAGGAAGTATAAGCAGGGTAAGGAGAACAGGAGAATCCTGGGAAGAGAAAGACACAGTCTGCAGTTGTCATCCAGTCACAGAGGAAGTAAGATGTAACTGTGTTACTGAAAAAGGTTCCATGTCATGCAGCTAACACAGACAAGAATGTATTATGTACATTATGTTAATATATGATGTAAGAAAGAGTTAATATGAAGCCTGAGCTAATAGGCCAACCAGTTTATAATTAATGTAGACCTCTGTGTATTTCTTTGGGACTGAACGGCTACGGGACCAGGTGGGACAGAAACCTCAGTCCACACTGGTGGTTGTGAGCTGCCTGATGTAGGCGATGAGAGCCAAACCTGGGCTCCTAGGACCAATCTTAGATCCTCTGGAAGAGCAACAAGTACTCTTAACTGCTGAATGAGCTTCCCAGTACCATTTTTGAAGTGTTTAAACTGAGGGAATGTGTTTTCCTGTCTAATTTCCCAAAAGTAATTTTTTTTTAAAAAAAAAAAGCTTGTGTATGTGATCTATACAAATGTATGAGGCCAGAAAGTGACATTAACTGCCTTCCTCAGTCACTCCCCACTTTACTTTTGAGACAGGGTTTCTCACTGAATCTGGTGCTTACTGATTTTACTTGACTAGCTGGTTATTAAGCCCCAGGGATCCCAGGGATTCTGTCTCTGCCTCCCCAGCACTGGGATAACAGGTTCTTACTGCGGCACATGGCTTTTTTATGTATGGGCTGGGGATCAAACTCACATTTTCATGCTTGTGTGATTAGCACTTTACCAGTTGACCCATCACCTATTCTCTCCTTAGAAAGAATTTTTAGGGATTTGGCCAAGTGAAATTAGAAATGTACAAAACAAGAACACAACCACACAAGGTAATTAAAAACAAACTTATTCTCTTCCTCTCGAAATGATTCCAGTAAACCAAGCCAAGCCAGAGATTCCAGCAAAGTATCTGCCTATACCGTACACAGGTGCAAGGACAGCAATGCTCCCCGACATGGCTATCGTGAGCAGCGATAGAGTTACAGCCAAACTCAGTGCAGGGTTTACATAGCAACCGTTGTTGGCGACAGATTCCGGGAGTCTTTCTGGGCAGAAGGTGCTGGTGAATACACACACACACACACACACACACACACACACACACACACACACACTCTTCTAGAATGTAGTGGAAATATTTGATGTCTTTTTTTTTGTTTTTTTAAGACAGGGTTTTTTCTATAGTTTTGGTACTTGCTCTGGAACCCACACTGTATACCAGGCTGGCCTTGAACTCACAGAGATCCTCTGGCTTCTGGCTCCTAGTGCTGGGATTAAAGGTGTGCCCTACCGCTGCCTAGCATGTTTTGTTTTTTTTTAAAAAAATAGGATACAGCAATATACTCCAGTTTTAACTGATTAACCATGCAAAGTTTAGTCTTGTTTCGTTTTTCTTTTCCATATGATAAATGGGAGAGCTGAAGTGCTTGTGTGTTATAAAGTCACTAATGTAATGAAATCTCTCTTTTGCATTTTTCTGATTTTTGTTTTACCTGTCGTCTGAAGCGGTTGGGCGAGTAGTTATTTCGAACGGAGTGTGCAGCTGATTAGAGTAAAAGGTGTCTGACAGGATGTCAGCTCCTTCAAGATCCCTGCAGCAGTGGCCCCTGCCGTGAATTACCTCCATGCTTCTTGCATAAATTTAGGCAGTCTGGAGAGTAAACAGAAATGAAAGATGAGGGTGCATTTGGTTTTGGAAGCTGTCTTAGTTATCATTACAATGACTTTGCCTTAGATAGGAAAGGAAACATTGATACACAAAAATCAGTGGCTTGCTTGCTGCCTGTGAGGGTCTGTGGACTCTGTCAAACCTGCAATCCTCAGCAACTTCTGTAATAAAAGTAAACTTCGTGGAAATTAACTTCAAATGAAGCAAACCCGAAAAGTGGGAATGAACACATGGAGAACCTGTAACGAACCCCTACAATCCACTTCTTGCCTCAAATTTAACACTATTCAAGAACAATCAGCTGACTTTCTACCGTGGTGGCCTTTCTAAGGCGCCGGGAGACTGACTCATTAACAGGTCAGGAGCCTTCCTCTAAAGCGGCAGTTCTCAACCTGTGTTTCACAGGGGTCGCCTAAGACCCTCAAAAACCAGATATTTATGACTCATAATAGCAGCAACGAAAATAATATTATGGTGGGGGGCGGTCATCACAACATGAGGAGCTGTATTAAAGGGTCACGGAATTAGGAAGGTTGAGAACCACTGCTCTAAAGGCGTTGTGGATTCGAGACAAGGACTCCTTCGTCGACAGCTAAAACAGGTGGCCCCAGTGGAGGACACTGGGTTCCCCACAGCGCTGGAGCGAAGCCCGCCCCATGGGAGGACCGGCGAGCCCGCTCAGTGCCACCAGAGGTCGCACGCACCTGACACATCTGCCCGGGAGCTCCGCCCGACCGCGCCACCCCTTCTTGTCACAGGAGCTGGCGGGTGTCCGCGGGGCGTGGAATTTCGCTGTCTTCCGCACCTGCGGGCCCCGGGAGCGTGCGGGCAGGTGCGGGAGAAGAAGGCCGGAGGGACGCGGGCTGGCCGGGGGCGGGGTTGAGGCTGCCTGTGACGGCGACGGTGACCGCGCACTTAGGTAACACATCCTGAGGGTGGGGCACCCGGCAGCGGGCCCGGAGCGCAGGCCGAGGAGCGGCGGGAAGCTCCCTCGGGATGTTAGGCCGCCCTCCCGGAGGTCCCGGGCCACCAGGATCGGAAACGGGGGCCGGAAGTGAGACGAGAGGGCTTTGCGGCAAACGAGAAGGTGTGACAGCGGGCTTTTCCGCCCTCGCCCGGAGTCTTGGCGCCTTCAACCTCAGGCTCCGCCCCCAGTCTCAGACCCCGCCCCGGTCTCAGGCTCCGCCCCCAGCCTCTCCCTCTTTACCTAGGGCCGCGCCGCCTTTAACAGGCTTCATCCTCGCCCCTCCATCGTAGGCTCCGCCTACACGCCTGTCTCTCCACCTTCTCTGGGCCTGGCCTCCTTCAGCCCCGCCCCCTCCGCGCCTCGGCTTCCAAGGCTTCACCCCAGCCCCGGCCCTCAGGCCTCAGGCGGACTCCAGGCGCCCTCTGGTGGCGTCTGCCTGACAATCCTCCTTTCCTTCCTGCACTGAGGTCTACTAGGACTCCGTCTACAATCGTCCTAGAGCTTCTGATGTGCTTTCTCAGTCCGAGCTGAGCAGAAGCTCCGGCCCTGGGGAGGAGAGCCGGGAGGTCTTGGGGTGAGGAACACTGATATAGTCCATTTGCAGTGGGAGCTGTGGTTTAAGATCTTCAGAGTTACCCGAGGCGCTAGGTGCCCCTTCTCCTAGGGCGGCTGACTCAGCCCATCTCACAGCTCGGAAGAGTTGCAGAGCTCCTTCCTGGAAGCCCGCTGAGCGCGCCATCAAAGAACCGGGCAGACAGGCTAAAGGCTCAAATTATGGATAGGGTTCTTGTCCTAAACCAACAGGGTGGGGAATTTGGGACATGAGCAAGTTCTGGTCGATGGAAGAGAGGGGGAAGTTTCTCGACATCAAGGGAATTTAAAAACCATGTATCGTCTTGCTTCAAATCTGTACGCCAGCCCTGTTTGGGTTTTCTCAACGCCGCCATTGCTTTCCGTAAAACTGAGTATTAAAAACGACTTTGTTTTCACCGCGTTTGAATCTATTTTTATTTCCATCCCTGTCTAGCTCCAAGGTGGGATCCGTGGGATTATACGAGCTGAGCCCTGAGCCTCTTCTATTTTCCTGACCACGGGCTGAATGGGAAGGTGGAATATGGAGACAGTTTATCTGCCTGTCTCAAAGGCCCAGTTCCTCCTGCATTTCCTCAGTTCTGGCTGCAACTTTGAGAGGAACTAAAAAAACACAAAACAGTAAACAAAACAAACTGGAGTGGTGGTGTGCACACCTGTAATCCCGCCCATAGGTGGACCACGAGTCTCAGGAAGTTCAAGGTTAGCTGCAGTGACTTTGAGGCTGACCTGGACTGCATTAAGACCCTGTCCAAGAAAGAGAAAGGGGAGGTCGGAATAAAGATGCCAACCAGACTTCGGTTTCTGAGTTTGGGCCTTTGACAAACAACCTGAAAGAAACCGAAGGCAGAAAGGTGACATTTTGGCAGTGGGGACTGAAACTGAGGCAAGAATGGATTCCTCTGGAACTGTAAGCAAGCCCCCAATTAGATGCTCGCTTTCTTAAACCGCCTTTGTTGTGATGTCCCTTCAGAGCAAGAGAACAAGGCCTCCCCCCACCCCCCCCGCCCCCGACCTGGAAGACTAGACCCTGCTGGAGATGGGGTGGTGGGTGAGGGAAAGTTGGCTTTGACAGTCACCCATCGGTTTCGTTTTTCTGATGGAACTCCATCCTGATCTTTTAATATTTTGCAGATCCTCTGCGTAGGACCTCCCACTTAACTCCCTGTCTGCCCATCTCGTTCCATGTCCCCGTCTGAATTACTCTTTTCCCTTGCTCTTGACAAAACGCCTGCCAGGGTTTCAGAGGGCAGCTCCCAGCAGGGACGACAGTGGCTGAAGACTCTGTCTGAGGTGGAGAGAGCCCGAGGGCCACTCGTTCACGTCCCAGGTGGATCAGCAAGCAGAGAACAGGACCCAAAGCAGCCCTGAGTGTACTAACCCGCAAGACCTGCCCTGGGTGGTCTACATTTGCCAGCTAGGCCCTTGTCCCAAAGGTTACATAAAGTCCCAAAACAGTGCCACCAGCTGAGGATCAAACACTCAGAAACAGAGCCTGTTGGGGGCCATTGCACATTTGCATCATAACACCAGCCTTCTAGTACTTTCCATATTCAGTTTCTTTGAGTTGGGCTTTGGTTTCATTTAGTCATGGCTTGAGTGTTCCTAGGAAGAAATTGGACCTGATAGACGAGTGAGATATATTTGATGAAGATTCATCGTTGGTTCATACCTGTGGATGGTGGTGGCACTAGCGAAGTTGTGGCAACTCTAGGTTTAATGTATGATAAATATAATTTTAAAAGGGGAAATAATGCATAGTCGGTTCACCAGAGGAAGCTGGCATATAATTCCCTTCCAAGAATGAAAGAGAAAGTTCATTAGGAGAAAGGGCCTTGAGGTCATGCTGCAGCCTCAATCTGGGAGAACATTCAAAAGAATATATCAGCGTTTGAAATGGATGGACTGAAGCCTCTCTTTCAAACCTGGAGGGAAAACTCATTGAGAGAGAACAAAAGCCAGGAGGCAAAAAAAAAAACCACCATCCAGAAGATGACTGTGTAGGTGTGGATGCACAGACTCAGGCCAGAGCAGTCTCCAGAGAAATCCTAAACGAGAGACATACCCAGCTTCTATAACCTGTCAGGGTAACTGGACCTTTTACATCATGTGACTTAGTTCAACATCACACACGTGACAGTGACTTCTATAACCTGTCAGGGTAGCCGGGCAATCTACATCATGT